CCCCCCCCCCCATCCAGTTCCTCTCTTTTGATTGAGTGTGATGAGTTGAGTTGATTAACCGTCTGTCTGTCTTTCATATGAGTGAGAGTGTGTGTGAGAGTGTGACTTTTTGAATGACAAGCAAGTCCAGTAAGAGAGGTTCAATTTTCTAGCTGAAAGTGCACCTCTTTTCTCTCGTTCGTTCATCTACCTACCAACACCGTCCGTCTATCACCTCGCATTGAATCACTCGCTCTCTGCCTTGATTTTTGAACTTGGTTGCTCACTCACCCTTCTATTTTTATTGTTTCCATCTCCTCTTCTTCTCTTTCTCTCCTACTCTCCCTCCCTCTCTCTTCTCTCCCTCTCCCTCAGAGGCATGTTCCAGCCTCAACCCACACCTTTCGCCTCCTCCAGCTTCGCGTCCTATGGCCTAGCTTCAGACCTGGACTTTGGCTTTCCCGTGTCTGCTGGAGGTGGAGGTGCTGGCTTCTACAACAACCCGCCGCCGCCTGCTCCATCATCACAACTTCCCCAGTCGTCGCATGCACTCCAATCGCAAACACAGCAACCGCGCCTTGTTCAGCAGCAGCAGCAGCAGCAACAACAAATTCCTCGACAGCAACAACTCCTCTCTTCTTCTTCTTCCCCCACTGCAACCGCGCCATCCGTATCCTCGCCCTATTCCTCTTCACAAAACTCCACCTCCAACGAAGCTTCTTCCTCGCCAACTCTAGCGCAAGCGCCGCAAAGTCACCGTCATCAACAGCAGCAGCTTGACATTCTACAGCAGACGCAGTACGCTGCACAACCTCCTGTCGTGCTCAAGATGGAGGATCAAGGCCAACACGATATGGCCGCGCAGCAGGCTGCTGCAGAGGATTATCAGCCTGTTCTTGAGGTATATCGCACCCATTCATTTCACCCCGGCGCTTCTAGCTCGCGCGTCATTTGCTTCACGGTGTTCGTCCATCGCTAACCTCCGGTCTCGTAGGGTCTCGCAGTAGGGAACAAAGTCTCGAGCGATATCATCACCCACGAGTATGCCAAAGCCGATCCCGTCTATGTCGAAAAGACAATCGTACGTTTTTATTTACTCTTGTTGGTGTCGCTCGCTGCTAACATGGCATGATCTAGTCTCTCCCCCAAACCTACTCACACTTCCGCCCCATTCAAGGCGATGGCAACTGTGGATGGCGAGGTATGTCTACAACTCCCCGCTTCTCATCCCGCGACTCTCTCCGCCTATTATGAAACATGTTTGGCATGCCTGACGTTACCTTGCTTGCTTACTGCCCATGTCTCGGCAACTCTTGTGACATGTCGAACTTGCGCTAACCTTCTCGCCAATAGCAATTGGCTTCAGCTACTTCGAGAAACTCGTTGAGTCGGGGGACCAGGCCAAGATCGAGGGCGAGGTGGCACGTCTTATGAGCATGAACCATTTGCTGGGCTCTGTTGGTGGCTATCCATTCTACGACGACTGGTCAGATGAGATGTTTGACTTTTTGCGCGAAGTCGCTCAGAATGTCGCCAACCCTCAGTATGCGCACTCATTGATCCAAGCCAAGTGGAACGACCCTGTTGTGTCGAGTAACATCATTTACTACCTTCGTCTACTTACAGCGACTTACCTCAAGCTCAATGCTGCCAAGTTCAATCCTTTCGTTTCGGATGCAGGTGGTGTTGAAGCCCACTGCCGGCAAGTCGTCGAGATCCCTAACCGCGAGATCGAGCACCTTGGCGTGTCCGCCTTGGCCGAAGTCCTCCTCAGACCAGCCAACTTTGTACTTGAGATTGCCTACCTCGACCGTAGTGCAGGTACTCATGTCAACCAGTACCGAGTGCCCGATGAGCTTAACACGCAAGACGCCAGCACACTCGGCCCCAGCATCTATCTGCTCTACCGACCCGACCACTACGACATCCTGTACAAAGCACCCACCATGCAGGTGCTTCGTGTCAGCGGCTTCACCCACAACACTAACATCACGACCGAACAAGCGGATCTCGGACAGTATTCGACCATGAACTTTGATGCGTTGTCTATCATCCCGGGCTTCAGTAACACAATGGGAGGGCTTGCGCAGCTCGCACCACCTCCAGCCAGTTCGGCCCCAGAACAATTCTCGCCTGTGCAACAGAGCCCATGGATGTCATCTTTCCCCGAGCCTTTGCCTGCTACGACACCGAGAGTAGCGCCACCGCAGCCACCACCCATCATGGCATCTCCTCAGCCCCCAACCCCACCGGCCTCGATATCGGGAAGTTCTGCGATTGCGCCCAGTCCCGCGATGCTACCTGCGCCTGGTCCAGGACCTCAGAATTCGCTCCCCATGCGAGGCGCTTCGAGCTATCACATCCGATTCAGTCCTGTTCAGCTCGACTACGACGAGGGCAAGAACAATTTCCCGGAATCGACGTACCAAGTGACGACCAACACGTTTAAGAACAGTATTTGGAACCGAGCTCACTACTGCAACCCCAACTTTCACCCCGAGGAGTGGAATCCCGACGACGAGCACACGGACGGGAGAGTTGGGAATAAACGAAAGCCAAAGAAGGAAGCCGCCTAGTGCGACGACTTTTACACGAACACGACCAAGGCATTGTCGGTTTTACTAGAAACCGACGGCCATGATGTTACCAGATGACGGCATTTGAGAACGACGATACGTCTGGTTTGCAATAAGAACCTAACGAGGAAAGACCGCAATCAGCATTTGGATCGGAAAGACGATGATCAGAATTGAGCTAAGGATATGGGGATGTACACGACGCTGGGCCCGGAGTGAAGGTGATTATTCATATGAATGGTTGGGCAGGCTAGCGATGCTTAGTGAGAATCCTTTTTTATTTCTGCATTGTTTAATGGACAAGGACAAGGCGGCGAGTCTGTTTGATGTGCATGATTATGTTGGTGGAAAGTGAGTGCGCGAGGATTGCCTACATCGTCATTGATGATGTCCAGGTCTGAATATGGAATATCACGAAGCGACACGAGAGAAGCCCCTGTTTCTGACGATGGGTATCACGAGAAAGGCCTACGATTTGACATGGAAACACGAGGGAGCCTACGTCGAGCATGGCTGCATGGATACCACGAGGTTTACGCAAAGAAGGAATTCTTGAAAGTAATGGAGACCAAACCGGACCAAGCATTTGGGATACTAGGGATGGGCGGCAATTTGTGGGCTCTTTTCTCGAGCCAGTTTCAAGACGGGCAACAAAAGGAAAAAAAAGGCATACATCCGAAGGAAACTGGGTCTCGGACGACGATGGTCTTGGCTATCAGGCCAATTGGCATGTCTCACAGCACGCCTTGCTACAGCGTGTCATTGCAGCATACTTTGCTCATTGCAGACATTTGTTCTTGCAGTCTGTCTGTGGCATGTCTTGTTTACACGTCTACCATCATGAATGTCTGGTCGAGCCCTCATTTGTTGCGCCTTGTCAGTTGCGTCATAGCATCGGCGTTCTTCTCTATCAGGTCACACTTCAACTTTCTAACTTCTGCTTCATCTTTGAGACCTTTTTTATTTTATTTTTATTTGGGACATCGTTTTTTGTGTGGAACAGCATCAATACTTGGGACTTTATCGAGTGGGTTTGGGATCGAGTTTATTGTGGCGAGATGGGTCTTGGGAGTGAGTTGCAATTACTTATTGCCAAGGACTTCCGGGTTGTATTGAATAGCAGATATCTCTATCTCGGTGAGATAGATGTGTCTGGGAATAGCTTAATGCAAGGGACTGTCTCGTCCATTTTGACTCAGAAGTACATCTCATCACATCACATCACAGACATGCCTTATCGGAGACGAACATGACATGAGGTACAATGGCTCGTTCCCTCGAGCCGTTCCGCTTCCGCTTCCGCTGTGCCGCACCATGACATGTGATCCACTGAATCACGAATGCATGACAATTTTCACAACTTGAATGTCTCAGCTCTTTGACCATCATGATCTCCAAACGAGGCGAGGAACGAGTTGCGAACCTGGATGATCCATGTATACAAGGACCTCTCTTATGATGATCGATATTTGGAATAGACAGCCACGTTTTTGAGCCTTGACGTGGTCTAGAACACTGACAAGACAAGGGGGCCACGAGGTTCTTGGTCCACCCGGGGAACGGCAAGCAGGGTCCGGTGACGTGACGTGCGAAAAGAAAATGATATTCTTCAAGGGGGGGTCAGGGTTACATGAGCGTAAAAGAGAGTTCAAGGCAAAAGAGGAGATTTGAACTACCGGGCAAGGCAACCTCGTGGGAGACAGGCCGGGGCTTGACTAGGATGTCAGAATAAACCCGTCACATTGCCTCCAAGATGTATGAGGAGTTACAGTGGTAATTTTGTCGTGGTGTTGAGGTTTTGTTGGCAGGGCGGAAAAGAGAGGCCGTACAGGGTCAGGGGGTGAGATGGTGGGAATGAGACAGACATCGCTTAGAGAAGATCAAGAGATTAGCACAAGGGGATACCACGTAGAGTTGAGAAAGTTTGTTGGTTCCCTTCACTCACTCGCAGTCATATCACCAGTCAGGATGCGTCATCTCATGCATACGGTGATTATACCCTTTCACACTAAGCGCCCAGCGACCGTCCAATCCCGCTGGTGAGATACGGCATCCTCAATCTTGTCCCCCAAAAGGGTCTGGGCCAATGGGGAGCTAGGGTAGCTTAGCTTTTGAGAACGGGCCGCGTCTTTTTTTTCTTCTTTGGTGTTGGTTGAAATTGGCCGATAATGTATCGGGTAACTTTAGTTTTTTTCCCCAGACTTGCCGATGTTTCTTGACAGAGAGAGGGGTTTTACAGAGAGGGGGGCGAGTTTGTTTGTTAGGGCTAGTGGAATGATGATGTTTGGACTGAGGCTTACGGGGACGGCGAAGGCGATGGCTTGGGTATTTGGAAGGTTGGAGAGCTTCTAGTTCCATTCTGAGTTGAGATAGACTATGACTTGTGTTGTGTAGAGCATCGAGGCTAGGCTAGCTGTGCTATAGCGGGCATTTTGTTATAGCTTGGGTTGGGTTTGGTATGCAAATTGGCCCTGACTTGAATCATCTGGGCTGCTAACTAACTAGGGGAGAGATAATCCCGGACCCTAGACTACCTTTGCCTTACCTTGTTGATGAAGCTCCTCCACTTTGCAAGGTACTAAGATTCTCCTCAGACTCCAACCAACACAACACAACACAGAGTGAGGAGACGAGTTGTGCTGTGACTTCTCGTCTGTACCTATCCCGTATTCGAGCTGATTTCAATTCCCTCTCCTTCGTCCTTTTCTCTTTTCTCCTCCTCATCCCCTCCTTCTTTAATCCCTCTCTCTCTTCTTCTCTTTCTTCTTTCCCACTCTCTTTCTTTGGCCATGGATGTTCGTAAAAGACATATTTCCTTGCGCGTTCTCGATACCTTTTCTATACTCCAATCTTAATTCACGATACCATCCTTCTTCTTTCTCTTCTCTTCTCTTCAGAGTACATATAGCCGACGGCCCCCAACTTTGATCTCGCTTTAATATCCCCTTGTCGATCCCTCATCAGATGTCCCGCTACGATCCGGATCGTTCTTCCATCACTGCTTTTTCTGCGACTTCAAAGAGCGACATGGCGCAGTCAAACGATGGGCTGCAGAGGATGAATCGCCTCACGGTGGGTGATGCGAGTCCTGCTGAGGAGGATGACGATTATAGCGATACGACGTCCAATTACTCGACTATTTCCGAAGACACGCTTCCCCTGATTCGCGAATATGGACATACCTACCACGGGTCAGGCCAGCTGCTCACGCCGAATGATCCTTCTGAGGCGCATCGCCTGTCGGTCCAGCATGAGCTGTACCAATTGTGTCTTGATGGTAATCTTGCTGATTCGAAACTACCACTTGATCAATTTACGGCCGAGGATCCGATGGAGATACTAGATGTTGGTGCTGGTACGGGAGTATGGGCTTGCGACATGGCGAAGCGATATCCCCAGGTCAACATACTCGGTATCGACTTGAGCAGCGCATTGCTACCCGAAGATGTCCCACCGAATGTCACTTTCGAAATCGCCGATGCTACAGAGACTTGGCCGAACCGTACATACGATTTTATACACATGCGCAGTCTAGCAGGCGGCGGTGTTCGCGACTGGAACGCTCTATTGGCTGAAGCCTACGAGCACCTCAACCCGGGCGGACAGATCGAAATAGCAGAGATCCGACCGCATTTCTTTGACGCGGACCCCGAGCACGTCGATGGAGAAAAAGGCGTAGTCGGCGCGGCCTGCAGAGAGTACGAGAAGATATTCGAGGAGATGTGCATCAAGCTCGGCATAAACTGCGACCCCATACCGCGAGTCCCTGAAATCTTAAACACCCTGGGAGCAGATCTCGTGCGCGTCCGGGTAGATTGGCTCCCGATACAGAATTGGGGAAGTGACCCGGTCACCCAGCAGAAGCGCAAGGCCCTGGCGGAGATGGTCGAGTGCGGTAGGTGGCGAATTCTCTTTTTTTCTGAAACGTCTCAAAAAAGTCACACACACGCTAATATGAGTCGGACCAGGTATAGAGAATTGGACGTTGAGGTTATTCGGACTAGGAGGGTGGGAGGAGAAAGCGACGCGGGCTCTGCTTGATCGTGTTAGAGCTGAGATCAACGATCCAATGCTGCGTAGTTTAGGAAAAGTGTAAGTTTTGTTGTATTGGTGCGTGTGTGTTGGTGGCTAATTTTGATAGGACGTTTGTCACGGCTCGAAAGGACTGCGGCAAATAGGTTCAAGGAATAGGCATAGAGATCTATGTGCATATATCGGAGTTTTTGGGTCATCATGGACGGCGTCAAAGGCATTGTGTCTGGGGCGGATGTCAGGAAGAATAGGGAATGGTGCAAACCAATGAGCTCGGGGAGATATTCCCGCGGTGGGAAATGGATACCATATGGAACATATAGGGCATGGAAGAGATGTACCGAGTGATTAAAGTCGGGTTAAGTTACTGGAGCATAAATGGGCGGATGGAGTTGGATACCGCTAGCCTTGGATACAGTACAAGGCATCGGATGAACTACCGTTTCAGCGGTTACGGCCCGGATGAGGCGACCGGAAGATACAGGAGATGCAAGGTGTCAAAGGTATATTCGTTTATCAGGATGACTCCCGACACTTGATCATCTTACGTCGTATGCACTCACTTCACGCATATCTCATGCTACAGAGATGCCCACAGTACGCCCCATGTACCCGTACAAAACAGATCAAAACAGATCAAAAGAGAACAGAACAGAACAACTCCAGATATCCAAATCAAACAGTCTCGATATATCGCTTCATTTCCCTGTGATTTGTTAGTCAAGGCACCCAGTAGATTAGTAGGATGGGAACATACCAATCAGTTACTGCCTCGTCATATAGACGAACCTCATGCTCTCTTGTGCCGCCAAAGTGTTCCACGAAGTCATCGCCAAATACTTCCCGTGCAATACTGCCCTTCTCCATGAAGCGCGCCGTAGCCTCCTTAAGACTCTTGGCTAACCTCTCACCCGGATCAGCGTCACCGCCGACATCCTGGCCCATTGCAAGCGGAGGCGTAGGAATCTCGAGTTTCTTCTCGACACCGCGCCATCCACAGCCGAGAATGGCTGCGAGGACGAAGTGGGGGTTTGTGTCTGCGCCGGGAACTCGGACTTCGAAGCGTGTTGCTGAGGGCTTGGGTGTGATTAGACGGATTGATGCAGCGCGGTGCTCAAGACCCCATGATACTGTGACGGGAGCCCAGAAGTTCTCGACGAGGCGCTTGTAAGAGTTGATGGTTGGTGCGAGGAGAGGCATGATGTCAGGAAGACCGACAAGCAGACCAGCGAGGAAATGACGTCCCATATCAGAAAGGTTCTCAATATCACTCCACTTGGCATTCTCATCCTTAGCCTCCCTCGCAAACAAATTCTTGCCATCCTTATCAACGATCGAGACATGCATATGCCCACTGTTTCCAGGCAGGCCCTGCTTCGGCTTGGCCATGAAGCAAGGGGTGATGCCGTACTTTGTGCTCACGCTCTTGACGACGTACTTGAACAGGGCGGCGCGGTCAGCCATCTGCGCGATCTCGCCGAACTCGAGGGCAGCCTCGAAGACGCCCGGGCCGGACTCGGTGTGCCAGCCCTCGATGTCGCAGGAGAACTTTGCGCACGTGTTGAAGACGTCGTAGTAGTATTCTTGGTTGTGGACGGGGCGGGTGAGGGAGTAGCCGAACATTCCTTCTGTGAGGGCGGGGAGTTGGTGAGGGGGGTTTTGTTGGAGGTATGCGGCTGGGGATGAGGATGAAGGGTCGGGGGATTTGAATTGGTAGAATTCATATTCAGCTGCGGGAGTCAGTACAAAACTTGTAATTTGGAGGTGATGAGGAAACGTACCGCCTGCCATGGCACCGTAACCATGCTCCTTGAGCTTCTCAAGCTGCGTCTTAACCAGACCTCTGGGACAAGCACAAATAGGCTTCTTGGTTTCAGGATCCAAAAAGTCCACCAAAAACAGAGGAACGTCATCCTCCCAAGGAATTCTCCTAAAGGTAGAAAGATCTGGAATAGCGAGGAGATCATGGTATCCGTTCTCGGCGTTTGAGATCTTGAGCTCGCGGATATATGTACGATCGTGCATATCCCAGCCAAAGATGACGGAGCAGAAGCCAAAGCCGGCTTCGGCGATGGAGAGGAACTTCTTCTTGGACACCAGCTTGCCGCGCAGGATGCCGTCGACGTCTACGCCTGCGAGCTTGACCATGTTGTCATTCTGGAGGAGCTGGGGGAGGGAGTCGACGGTGATGGATTTAGGGTCTGGAGAAGCCATGGTGGAGGATTTGGGGGGGGGTAAAAAGAAGGGTATAGAAAGAGGTGATGAAACTGTAAAGATTCAAGTAATGCGCTGTATGTTTATAACCAAAAGATATTTCTTGGGATAGTTATACAGTTCAACAACGGTGGAGTTTTGAGATTCAAGCCGTTGCGCGCGGTTCAAGGGGGATCAACAATGATGAATGCGGGGAGAAGACGACCCAAGAGTAGATACAGTAGTATTTGAGAGATTGTCTATGGAAAAGAGGGGGAGTGAGACAAGTAAGTTAAACAGGTTTGTATCAACCTCAACTGAACTGGGAACGGGATAATGGGCAGCGCGGCTACGATAAGACCGAACGAATGCGAACGATAAGACAATGCTTCAGTGACGTAGACTGAGCGGGAAGAAAGAGTGGGGAGCTGTGATGTTCGGTGCGCGATGCAGGTGCTAAGACCAATTGAGCCGAAAGCAAGCGGGGGGGGGCTTATCTGGGAGTGTTTTAGTGGGAGCAGGGTTTGGAATAGCTTCATTGCCGCGCTGAAGCCTGAGAGTGTCATTGAACAACCAACCCCGCGATCTAGATTCGATTGGAAGCTTTGGCCAGAACATGGGGTAAGATTACATTAGTTTCACGATATGATAGCGGTTCGCCAACTGCCGCGTTCCGATATCTTCTTTATCCGCTTCAATTGCCGTTTTTATTTCAGAGAGTGTAACCGCGCCTTGTGCGCCCTGTACATTTTGTGAGGATTGAAAGTAACCGCGTGTTGTTGTCTTGGGAGAGTGAGATAGGATTTGACTCGGAGTTTGTTGATGTTCTCGTGACCTGACTTGGAGAGAGAGAGCCGACATCGCTAGTTGCAGGGGTGTTGCGTGGCACAGCTGCAAGCTTGATTGAGATCTGACATCCATATACCGAGAGAGGACCCTGGATCTGACGTTTGTTGATAATGTGATAGTGTTTTATGAGAATTGGAGGTTTCAGTTGCGATGATGAGGTTACGATTATAAGCCATAGCTGTATCTGATTGAATGGATCAGATGAACAATATGTAATGGAACAAGAATTCATGTAAGAGGCATTGAACTTTACACATTCGTTATCATCTTAAGCTCATGCATCTCTATCAACATCACATCCTCACTGATAAGCTCACCTCACCTCAGCCATAATTCCCCATACAGTTGACCACCCCCCAAATACTGTACCCATCAACTGTACTGTACCTCAATCTTTAATAATAGCCGCGATGACAGCCTCCACTAACCAAAAAAGAAACCCACTGCAACCGCCAACCGCCCTCGCTCGTCCGTTCTCGGAATTATGCCCATCTCCACGATCTTTCTCATGACTGGCCCAACGAGAAATCAGACGACCTGACTCTTACTTAGCTCTACCGCCCATTCCAGCTTATCGGAGCTTCCAGACGCTTTCGATAAGAGGAGAGGGAAGCTTAAAGAATAAGGACCCCTCTGCCCCTCATTGTTGTGTCACCGTCCATCCCATCAGATTTCTATATATTTTTCACGAGATACCCACCACTTTGCCTTGACATTCTTTCTTCATACCACGATTCTTCACTCTTAACATCCTTCATCTTCAAAATTAACATACCTTACACATTCACAATGGGTCGTCTTTCTGGAAAGAACGCTGTCATCACTGGCGCTGGAGGGTATGTTTTCTTTGTCTTGTTGTGCTGTATGATACGATACTGATGATCGCAGTGGCATTGGTCTTGAGACCTCTATTCTCTTTGCCAAGGAGGGCGCTTCCATTCTCATGTCCGATATCTCTCAGCCTGCTCTCGAAAAGGCCGCCGCAAAGGTCAAGCAGCTCGTCCCCGATGCTCCCCGCGTCGAGATCCTCGTACGTCCCAACACCCCCGCCACTTCCTTAGACAATAGTACTGACTCGTGACAGAAAGTCGACGTCTCCAAGGAATCAGAGGTCCAGGCCATGATCGAATCCCTCGACTCCTGGGGCGGCATCGACGTCCTCTTCAACAACGCCGGCATCATGCACGCCCAGGACGACGACGCCGTCAACACCCCCGAGAACATCTGGGACCTGACCCAGAACATCAACGTCAAGGGCGTCTGGTTCGGCTGCAAGCACGCCGTCCTCTCCCTGCGCCGCAACAAGAAGTCCAAGGCCTCCATCATCAACACCGCCTCCGTCGTCGCCCTCGTCGGCGCCGCGACGCCCCAGCTCGCATACACAGCCAGCAAGGGCGCTGTCCTCGCGCTCACGCGCGAGCTCGCCATGGTGCACGCCCGCGAGGGCTTCCGGTTCAACAACCTGTGCCCTGCGCCGCTCAACACACCGCTCTTGCAGGACTGGCTGGGTGATGATAAGGAGAAGCGCCATAGACGGGAGGTTCACTTCCCTATGGGGCGGTTTGGCGAGGCTGTTGAGCAGGCGCAGGCTGTTTTGTTCTTGGCGAGCGATGAGTCGAGCTTTGTCAATGGGCATGATTTTGCGGTTGATGGTGGTATGACCAAGTGCTATGTTACTGCTGAGGGGCCTGCGCATCCTCCTCCTGAGAACAATGCTACCAAGGACTCGTTGTAAGAGTGAAGAGAGTTGGAGGATTTAGCTGGAAAGATATCTGTAGTAACGATTAGTATGATTCCATAATGAAATAAATTGTCACATCACAAACAGTAACAGTCACTTGCGAGGATGAACCTGGCTGATCATATACAATATCATTTGTAAAGTATTCATCAATATACAAAAAAGATACCCAAACTCCGGTTCATGCTTTTCCTTCTCTTAGCCTCCCTCTAATGGAATTGTCCCTCAGTGTTTCCCTCGCCCATACTCTTACTGCTCGAGCTTCCACTCTGGATAGCTCCCAGAATTCCATCAATGTAGCTTGCGCCACTCCACTTCTGATGAGTCAAAACATCGCACTTGAGATCCTTCTCACGGCGTTGCACGATATCGACATATGCCTTCATACCATCCTTCTTGAACTCGCGCGACAGCTCAGTTGTGATTGTAGCGTTGGAGTGTAGACCAGCGAGGGAGATGAGCTGAAGAACGAAGCCCTCACGAGCAATGTCCCAGATGAATGACTTGAGGGTCTCGTCGGTGAAACCGTGGGCCATCCAGTTGAACGAGGGAGAGAGGTTGTACACGAGGCCCTTGCCGGGGTTGACCTCGCGAACAGCGCGGCCTAGCTTAGTAGCTACCTCAACGTTGGGGTCTCCTGTCTCAACCCAGAGAAGGTCCGCGTAGGGACTGAACGCAAGAGCGCGCTTGGTAGCCGCCTGCATACCAGCGCGGTAGTGGTAGAAACCTTCGCGGGTACGGGGGACGTCCCAGTTGAAGTACACAGGCTCCTTGGTGTACTTGTTTGCGAGGCCGCGACGGCGGGAGATACCCATGTCGTGGTCCTTCTCAGTCTCGGCGAGATACTCGTCGATTTTGGCTTGTGAAACGCCTTCCTTCTTCATGTGTGCGACAGCAGCTTCGTCAAAGGTGACGAGCTTGGTGCTCTTGACCCACTGAGCTTCAAAGGCATCGATCTCAGCGCCAACAGCGCCCTTGGCCTCCATGGCCTGGATGGTCTCAGCGAGAGGCTCAATAGAGGGATCAGAAACACCGAGGATGAACTCATGATCGCGAACATCAATAGCTGACGAGAGAAGCTTGCCAGACTCAGAGTCGGTTCGAGCAATGACGAGGTTCTCACAGCCCATGACATCCCACTGGAAGCGCGTAGCAACAAGACGGTTGATATGCTCTCCAATAGGAACAAGAACCTTGCCCGCCAAATGACCACACTTCTTTCCACCGTGGAGCTGGTCCTCAAAGTGAACAGCTGCAGCACCATTCTCAGCGAAGAGCTTGGCGAGCTTAAGAACAGCAGACAGACCACCATGGCCGGTATCACCGTCTGCAATGATAGGGCGGAGGTAGTCAACGTATGGTGTCTTTGTGCGCTCCTCGGGTGTCATCTTGCGACGAAGATCCCACTGCTTGCGATCGTGCATGTTCTGCGCCTTGGCTAGACGCTGGACCTGGTTGGGGACGGTGTTGTAGGGGTAGTCGCCGAAGTCGGGGGATACCTCGTTGGTAGAGGTCAATAAGGAGGAGCAGGCCCAGCCTGAGATGTAGAGGACTTCCTGGTGAGGAGCTTGTTGGGTCATTTGCACGGGGTCAATTGCGCCCACTACAAACTATTAGCAGTGTACTTCTCGAGTATCGTGGGAGACTTACTGGTATGAATAGGCTCGCCCTTTGCCACGCGCTCTTTGATCAGATTGAACAGCTTCTGCGCCATGACAGAGCTAGGATACTGAACCTTTTGCGTGCCCCTCTTGGTCGCTACATCCTCCGCGCTATATGGCCTCTTGATACCCTGATATCTCGGCGACGCCCACCACGCCTCAATCTCCTTCACGGTAGCTTCGTACAGACGATCCTCCGCCTCGCCGGCCTTTTGCGACTCTGGGAGAAGCTGGAATGCATCGGCGGGTTGTGTAGCGTGGGTGCTGAGCTGCGACATCTTTGCGATGGGGGTGCTGGACATGGCGCGGATGGCGAGGAGGGGTGCTACGCTTCGGGGCTTGGAAGCGGAGAGGAGGCGCTGGGGAGCTCGGGTTGATAGTCTGCGCAACATTTTGGGTGTTGTTGTGAGGATGTGAGAGGGAGGAGGGGAGAATGTGAAGGAGAAAGAGGTGGTTGTGGTGGGTAGATCGGGAATAACGGAGTGGATGAACAATAAAGTCGAGCACTTGCGGATGATGATTTGAAGCCCGTGATAGCTACAAGACCAACCAACGCCACGACAAAAGATGAAAAGATCAAGACCAAGTAATACTAATCTCTTCTAAATAAAAGAACACTTTTTCTACCTCTAATTTATTTATTGATCCCGCTGCTGAACCATCATGACAAGAAATAAAAACACCAACTCGATGACCGACCGGTTACCGACCACCAGCTCCAGTAACCGAGCAGAACAAAATTACAAGACCCTTATAAATGCTTGACAAAAAACGCAGCTTACAAGTTGGAGACTGATGGCATGTCAGCAGAGCCTTGGTTAACAAGAAGCATTGCCGACGAATTGGCCAATGGGTGAGCTTCGTACGGCAAACAGTCGTGAAGCTGATTGGTTGAGATGCATGTTTGAGCCGTGGCATTCGAGTCGGTTCATGGCGGGTTTCCTCGGTTGGAGTCGCCATGATAACCGTGGGATTTGGCTTGTGTCCCTTGGAAATGGAAGAAATTCAGAGAATTGTGTGCTGAAGGGGGAATCTGCTAATGCAACTAGAGTTTTTGACATATCTGGTCTATTAATCTATATTTATATACTGCTGTGTCTGTAGATACTGTCGTCTTCTCCGCACTCACTGCGTCATAAGAGTTCAGTTCAACCCCGCATGACAAAATAAACGTGCAAACCACCTTCAGAGGCTCTCGTTGGATGCCCCCCGCTCCCCCGGCTGTTACCCCAGATTCAACCAAAGACACCCCCACCTACCGCTTCAGCTCGTTTACCACTGGGAACCCTCGGCCCAACTCCCTCCTCATACTTGATCTCTTCTACTCCTCTATTTGATCTTCTTCTTCTTTTTTTTCTTCTTCTTTCCTTACTCCAATCCTCTCTGTATCTCATCACAATGGCTCTCAACTTGACATCCTCCCGCAGGGCTCTGGGCTCCCTCAAGGTAAGCTTCCAAGCTAACTCACATGTAAAAACACCATAAACTCACACTTCGCAGCCCCTCACTCGTGCCGCTTTCTCAGGTGTCCGCGGCTATGCCACCGCAGAGCCTGATCTCAAGGCCACTCTGCGCGAGGCCATCCCCGCCAAGCGCGAGCTCCTCAAGAAGGTCAAGGCCCACTCCAACAAGGTCCTCGGCGAGGTCAAGGTCGAGAACACCCTCGGCGGCATGCGCGGTCTCAAGGCCATGGTCTGGGAGGGTTCCGTCCTCGACGCCAACGAGGGCATTCGCTTCCACGGCCGCACCATCAAGGACTGCCAAAAGGAGCTGCCCAAGGGAAAGACGGGAACCGAGATGCTCCCCGAAGCCATGTTCTGGCTGCTCCTCACCGGCCAGGTTCCCTCTGTGAACCAGGTCCGCACATTCTCTCGTGAACTCGCGGAGAAGGCGCAGATTCCAGAGTTTATCTCAAAGATGCTTGATAACTTCCCCAAGGATCTTCATCCCATGACACAGTTCGCCATGGCTGTTTCTGCGCTCAACTACGAGTCCAAGTTCGCCAAGGCGTATGAGCAGGGTCTTAACAAGGCTGATTACTGGGAGCCTACTTTTGACGATTGTATCTCGTTGTTGGCCAAGCTTCCTACCATTGCTGCCAAGATCTACCAGAATGCTTACCGTGGTGGTGGTGCTCTGCCTGCTGAGGTTGATCTTGAGCAGGATTGGTCGTACAACTTTGCTGCTATGCTTGGAAAGGGTGGAAAGGAGAATGAGAACTTTCAGGATCTTCTGAGACTCTACCTCGCTCTTCATGGTGATCATGAGGGTGGCAATGTTTCTGCCCACGCCACTCACCTTGTCGGAAGTGCTCTGTCGGATCCTTTCCTGTCTTACAGTGCTGGTCTCCAGGGTCTCGCTGGACCTCTTCACGGGTAAGTATCTCTCTCTCCTCACAGTCTTGAGTATCTACTAACATGCCTCAGTCTCGCCGCTCAGGAGGTTCTCCGATGGATCATCCAGATGAAGGAAGCCATCCCTGCCAACTACACCGAGCAAGACGTCAACGACTATCTCTGGTCTACCCTCAACTCAGGCCGCGTCGTCCCCGGCTACGGCCACGCCGTCCTCCGCAAGCCCGACCCCCGCTTCGAAGCCCTGATGGACTACGCCGCCGCGCGCCCCGAGATCGCCAACGACCCCGTCTTCCAGCTCGTCGAGAAGAACAGCCGCATCGCCCCCGAGGTCCTCAAGAAGCACGGCAAGACCAAGAACCCCTACCCCAACGTCGACAGCTCCTCTGGCGTCCTGTTCCACCACTATGGCTTCCACGAGACGCTGTACTACACTGCTACCTTTGGCGTCTCTCGTGGTCTCGGACCTCTGGCTCAGTTGATCTGGGACCGGGCTCTGGGTCTGCCTATTGAGAGACCTAAGAGCATTAACCTTGAGGGCATTCTTAAGCAGGTTGAGGGTCAATAAAAGGAGAGATACCCAGAGAAAAAGGTGGAATGATCATATAAGGGCTTTGAATGTATATAGCGTCGTGACAGAGTAGCCTATGATTGACGATTTGTTTGACCAAAGCTTGTCTCCACGATTGTGATGTTTTGTGAATCGCATGTCTCATTAGTCCAATTCTCTCTACTCTCTTCACTTTTGTAGTCTATGATCCTCCAATATCTGTCTATGCCAATACCTTCTCTAGATGATCAAAGTACAAATCATCCCTCAACGCTTTACCATTAAAAAGCCCCTCGTACGGAAACGGACTCGTCTCCCCGGTCTTAACATATCCCCTTCTAACATACCACTCAATCAACTCCTTCCTCGTCCAAATGACCGTCATCGTCATGATCTTGGTTCCCCAAGTCCTAACCGCATAATTCTCCGCATACGCGAGCACCTGCTTTCCAATGCCTCCAGCCTGAAGTTTCGGCGACACGGCAAAGAGGCCAAAGTAAGCGCGCTCCGAGTCCTTTTGAACAACTTCACAGCATCCGACGAGACGGGGATCGCTGTCGCCTTCTGGTGTTGATGTTCCAGATGACGAGGGGGAGGAAGTGAATGCAAGAATGACTGCGCCGTTGGGGTCGGTGATCTTGGCGAGGAGATCGGTGGGGGATATGCGCTCGTCGGCGAGGAGGTCGGCCTCTGTTGTCCAGCCTGCGCGGGAGTCGGGGCCGCGGTAGGCGGACATTATGAGGGCGCGGAGAGGGGTGACATCTTGTGGTGTCGCGGGGCGGAATGTGAGAGACATTGTGGGTGAGAGTTGTGAATAGCTTCAGTTGGTATGAGATGAGATGTTGTCGCACTCGCAGACTTGAAAGAAAAATGACACTTCAGTTGAGATGAAGTGTATGTGGCAGTTGACGAATGCTTGCTTGCTTGCTTCAATTGAGAGGTGTATGGGTTTGGGAGAACAATGTGTGGAGATCAACTGGACTTGTCGAATATTTAAGATATTTAGCTCCGATACAGGAGAACCCTTTTCTGTCACAATCTTTAACCTGCATCGGCAGTTTGCGACGGTCTCTGTCGCATACGCCCTGAAAACGACTCAATTGACATTTTTGCCGTGCAACGTCAAGCCATGCATCGTTTAACTTTGACAAAACGGGAGTCCATGTGGATCAATTCGGTTCCATTGAACTATCCCGTTTTGTTAATTCTATACGACAGCCCTACGGCACCAGTCTTGGTGATGAACTGTATGGATCGTCCGCTCAGTACAACGTCGACCATGAACCGATCGCGGAGAATTAAGTAATAAAGTTGAGAAAGTTTCAAGTTTACAATGCATGTCAATTGATCAACGCCAAACCTGCTATAAATATCCCCTGTTCCTGTGTAGGTTTTCTACAGTATATATAAAACTCTGAAACCAAAAACAAAAGTGTGTATATGCCATTATAAAAAAAGAGAAAAAATAAGAAATATCTGGGAAAAAGAAAACACGACTCTATGTTTTTTTTAAACCCGGTCTAGTCTAAGCAGCATCTTGAGCTGGAACCTTGGAGTACTTGGCAGCGCTGTACTCGAAGCCCTGGTTCGTCGTGTCCTCGCCGGCGCGGTACGACATGAGATCGTGGTTCTCGGCAGCAGCCTGCTTGGCCTCGCTGGCACCGGCGGCGCGTTGACGCCAGAAGTAGAAGCCTAGAGCTCCGAGACCGATGGCTGCGGCGCCGATGCCGCCGGCGTAGATTCCTGTCTTTGTGCCGGCGGGGAGGGCTTCCCATTTCTCGGAGGTGGTCTTCTCGGGTTCTTTGTAGAGAGCATCGAGGGCGGTTGAGTTGCCCCTGGTAGTGGTTAGTATGAGATGCAATTTTGTGGGTGGGGAGTGGCTTACTTGACGATTTCAATGCTCTCCCAGCTTCCAGACTTATCGCCGTAGACGTACTCTTTTCCGGTGCTGGCATCTTCGACGTAGACACTCTTGACGTGCATGGTATAAGGGCCCTTTCCGTAGTCGGTATCTGTAAATTGTCAGCACAACTCAAGGTCTTCAGAGACACTCAAACTTACCACCACCAGCCCATTGACGAGTTCCCTCAGGCATAGTAGGATCACCAGCAGCCCAGATTCCAATGCTCAGTCTCATGGGTGTCTGAGGATAACTATCCATATCATCCTTGGCAACAACCGTTCGCACATTCTCTCCATCAATGTACCACTTCAACTCATCCTTCGTCCACGTCGTCGTATAGTTATGGTAATCCTCCTGCATACCACCCTTGACATAGTGCCACCCCGCCTTGGTAAAGTCCTCAACACCCTTTCCGTAGTAGTTCGTCGAAGCATGGGTGTCGTTGGCGCCCAGGATCTCCCAGTCGACCTCGTCCAGATCGTCGCTCAGCCACATCATGGAGCTGATGATTCCAATGCCGGGAGCGGCCTTCATGACGAGTTCGGTGCGGCCGAAGAAGAAGTAGAAGGCGGTGCGCAGAGTAGGCGAGTCGCCCTGCTTAGCGACGGTGAAGCTTGCGCCGTCGTTCTCATCGTATGTGACGCGTCCGACGTGGTTGTCCCAATGGTCGCTGGAGGGCGTGTCGTTGAAGTGCCAGAGATAGCTTGTTCCAAAAGCCGGGTTGGGTTTGCAGTCTGTTTCGTTGAGAGGGTTGCAGTCCGAGGTTGTCTGAGCAGCCGCGAGGCCAAAGATGGCGGCCGCGGGGAGAATGTATCGCGAAAGCATAGTGAGTGAGTTTCAGCGTCTATCGAATGAAAACGAGAGGGAAAAAGGAATGAGATTGAAGAAGTGAGTCGAGTCTGTCGAGATGAAAGGAGTGAATGGGTGATGAAACGAATGAAACACCCAAGGATCAAGCAATATGAGATAGACAGAGACAGACAAGGAAAGAAGAACAAACTCAAAAGGAAAAAGAGGAACTTTGTTTGATCTACCTACTCAAAGAGCATGTATGAAATAATGAGAGAAAAATGAAATGGAGAGAGAGCGAGAGAATAAAAGCGGCAAATGGCAGAAAAGGAGACCACTCAGTACCGAGGATCCATTCTCGCAGGCCAGGCCAAGGCATGACAGGGCTCTCAGGAGGCCATCGCCAAAACCTCTAGATCGAATGGGCCTTGATTAATTTCAGACCACTCACAAGGCCTGTATCCAAACTGCGCCGGCGTGTCACTGTCGCCTACTAGGGGACATGCGACGCGCCAAGACCTGGGCGGGAAGGGCTTTTTTCTACAAGGGTTGTATCTGTGTGTCCATGGCTTCTTCGCTGAAATTAGAACCAGGATATAGGACGGGCTAACGAATTGGCATATCCACTTGAGATATCTTGGCTGAATTGAAATTTGAAGAACAAGAGAAGCTGTTGCTAAATATGAACATGAACATGGACGTAGATCGACAGGGGCAAAGGGGGGACGGCAAGTGGGATTCTTTTTATTGGCGCTTGGTTCAACATGCAAGATCTGGAAATTGGGACTAGACTGACTAGACTACGTTAGAGGTAACTAATGCAGCGGGAGGCTCTGCATATTCGGGTTCGGGTTTAAACTTTTTGAATTCATGATAACCATAACATAAAGGATAACTCAATTTGCACACTCATTCTCGCAATGTTCTCTCCGAACATCAGTTAATGTCTGATACATTAATCTTGATCCTTGCATTGCGGATTTAAAGTACCCCATTACAAAGGCAAGGATCCTCCGGTCAGTCATTTATCTTGGGCTATAGATAGCCCACCCCAACCTTGATCCTTAGTCTTAGGCCTTGCTGGCAAACTTGGCTTTCACTCTCTTGCTCGACTCGACAACTAGGTCCTCGTCGTAGATCTTCAGGACGCTGGGGTTCTTGCTGATGACCTGCGCCCACTTGTAGAAGTTGGGGGTCTCTTTCTCGAGGCGGGAGGGGAGATTGGCTGGTAGGAGGCCGTGCTTGGATGATGATAGCAGGCGAATGACGAATGGAGCTACAAGGACCTGTTTCTCGTTAGCCACCTCCTCATCAACATCGTCCAGGGCATTGGTTAGGTACCTCTGCAAAGGTGAGCTTATCGCTCCCGTTGAAATAAGGCGCCGCATTCTTGAGAAGAGGCTCGACCTCCTTCACAATACCAGCAACGGCATCATCCACAGCCTGATTAACCTCGTCCTCCGTCTGAGCCCTGTAAATAGCCTTGCCGATATGCGCCTGGACCTTGCTCGAGTACGCATCAGCGAAGAAGGCGATCCTCGCTCTGGTCAGCGGACCGTTCTTGTCCGTGGACGCGGGGAGGAGATGGCTGGGGTGCGCATCGGCGAGGAACTGAGCTACGATGGCGGACTCGGTGATGGTCTCGCCGTTGTAGATGATTGTTGGGACGAGGCCGCGCGGGTTGATGGCCAGGTACTCTGGGGTTCGGGGGGTGCTGAGATCAATGATGTTCTCTTTGACGGGGAGACCAAGTTCGGCGAGGGTGATGTGGGCCCTGTGCGCGACTGCGGGGGGATGTCAGCGGAGTGCAATATGATGAACGTGATATGATATGGTATGCATACAAGGGCACGCGTGGTTGGTGTAGAGGGTGATATCTGCTTGAGGTTGAGAGCCCATATTGACAGCTGTGTTGATACGTCGAGTAGTAGTAATTTGTTTGGTCAAGTTGTTTGAAAAGAACAAATTCTTAGCAGGACCTGTTGCAAGTCTTGTAGTAGTAAACAACCCCGCCATTTCTCTATGTACGGCAGTTCGGGAGGAGGCAGCAAATGCTGCATTATTAATTCAATCGGCATTTCGCAATATTGCACCATCGGCTTTTGGATACATCCGAAGCGCGAGTAGTGGTTGCGTCATTTCGGGTGAATTGATTGATAAGGCGCGCGGGGTTGACGCATCTTGTGTAACTTTCCTTTTCGTGCTTGATGTTGGTTGTGAGGCTTGAGGATTTGGTGTTTTTGGTACTGTGGTTATTTCCTGATGGAGTAATTGATGATGGGATTGATCGTCGTTAAGATTCTGACGTGAGACGGGAGACGGCGCCGCACTAAGAGGCGTAGGAGCAAGAAAACATGAGACTTCAGAAGAGGACGCCAAAATAAACTTAGAAGAGATTCACCTAAATTTAGGCTAAATTTACCTAAATATATTCATCACTTAGGGTCACCTCCTCTAGAAGGTGTAGGGTGAGGCTGGATTTGGACGACTTGCGACGACAGCTCGTGAATGAGACGACGGAATGGGCTTATCTGGGATGTTTGAGAAAGGTTGGTGTCTCGAAGGAATATTATTTGACGTTTGTATACTTTTTTTCAAAGTTCTAAGGTTTGGAAAATAACCTCATGCGTTTTTAGTAGACACTTGGTTTACATGATGTTGTTGCGACGGACAGCTGGACAGCTTCACAACAAGGCAAACACGTTCTGATTCTGTCTAGAAATGATATCCCGAATGTGAGACCGGAAATATCAAACTTGCTTCTTCCTTGAGAGGGCGATTTCTATGATCTGAAGTAATCTCTCAAAAAGGAAGAGTATCCAACTGCTGCAGTGATTTAAGGTCACAACCTAACTTAGGGAGCCAACAGATCCAAAGAACTTGTCGTTTACCGTATTTTCCCAAGCTTCCCATACAACGGAAATCTCGCATTTGAATCAAGGATCCGTGAAAGATGATCAGAGACGAAAAGGCATCTGCATCATGCTCAAAGGATTGTGAGGCTGTTTAAAGGGAATATGGCAGCGAAAACACCATCAATGACAACTAAGCCATCATGGATGGGTACGACCAAACACCCATCACCCAAAGAGAAGCCTACCATATCAGGTAGAAGCTGCGCTGTTAGTGACTCTAATATGTGAATGCGCACGTCTGCACCTTTACTAGTGACGGCCAGCTGCATCTGGCACTGCCGGAGGCCCTCCACTGACCAAACACTGCCAACACTGACCACAACAAGCGAACCAGACTCAAACGCAAGGCAGTGAATCATAAGGCAGCAAGAAAAAAAACTTGCTCCCAAATCCTCAAGCGCGCGCGCGCTTACGGACTCTTCTCTCTCACTGTCTCTCCAGCCTTCATCCACACATCGCACTCTCAGTTTCACCTCGCAATCACTGCTCGTACATCACCCATCTAACTCTTTCTTATTAGAAACAAGCTAACAAGTTTCACCACCAGGACATACCAGAGACAACTAGATTTCTTTTCCGCTCCCTATCATGGCGCCCAGAGGCGGTAGAGGTGGCGGTCGTCCTCCTGGCCGACAAAGCAAAGCCAACGGCAAGAAAAGCGAGAACCAGCCATGCTTCCAATTCCAGAGGGGAAGATGCAAGTATGGAAGAGACTGCAAGTTCTCCCATGATAAAGAAAGTACTGGCAATGAGCGTGCTGCACGCCCTGCAGACAATCACCTCGACGCTGAAGCTCGCGAAGAGTACTACGACTGGAAACGCCTCCTGCGCAGTAGCCCATACGACTCCTTTGGATCCGAACGAACTGAAGAAACTATTAAATTCTGGGAAGGCGCTCTTGGTATCCTGGATGGCGATAGCCAGGATCAACATCACGTAGTCGCCAAGGAACTTGTTCAAGACAAGTTTAACGGCCCCGAATGGATCGATGTCACTACCAAAATGACTTCTTTCACCTCAGCATCAAGCTTCAAATGTGCTGAGAATTTCCTCAGAGTCATTGCTCATCCTGCTCTCACCCCGCTGTCCATCAGTGCTTTTGTTGGAACCATATACGTGCTCTTCGGTGGCACGAGTGGGCAACAAGGCATTGAGTTCTTGTCCCGGATGTGCACCAGTATCTCAAAGACCATCGGCGGAACAGTTGGTACGCTAGATCCCGAACTCCATGACCTTGTCGATGTCATATTGAAGGCGCTACACGAACTTCTCGTCAAGACCAGTCGAACTCGGTTCTGTGATGGTTTACCCAAGCTCATTGGGCTGCTGGACAACATTCTTGCTGTGGTTGCTCAGCACGTCGCTGGGGCTTACCGCGATGGGCTTCAAGGTCGCTTGGACATCATCAAGAGGATTGTTGATGGGTCAACTGCCCGCGTAGTCGCTACTAAGCCCACAGCGGATGGTAAGAAGAGAGACAAAAACTCAGTCGCATCATCTTTCCCGCAGGAGGTAGCCATACCAGGTGGTAGACACGACAACGACTTCGCTGAGATCTCCGATGTCTCCATTCTCCCAACCCAGGGAGAAATCACCAGCGAGCATGAGGAATACCTTCCGTCTACCAACTTCTTGCACCCTCATGTCTTGACAGATCCTATGCAGCGGTACATCGACTCGACATTCCGCCTCGTCAGACACGATACATTGGGTCCAGTGAACGATACTCTCCGAGATATTTTTGCTTCTGACAACCTGATGGTCGGAAGAATGACAGACAAAAACAGCCAAGCACAAGTCTACACATCAGCAAGGTTCCGTCGAGTCGCTATCCACGAGCGACATGGATTGGAGGCGATTGTATCCTTTTCCACACCGTACTTCATTCGCAAAAAGTCGTCTGCGGAGCAACGCGACTGGTGGCAGAGATCTCCTCGCCTGGGTGAAGGAACGCTTGTGTGTTTTGTTACTTCGGAGGGTGAACACAAGAGGATCCTCTGCTTTCAAGTCACCACCAAAAGTACACAATGGGACCACAGGCGCCCTGACACGAGCAAGAGCAGCCTTGTCCCACATAATATCGACCCAAGCATCACTGTCAAGCTTGCGACACATCAGCAAAGCGACTTGGCTCTGCTTCTTCGACTGTTCCAGGACAACACCACGGGCGTTTTGGTGGACTTCAATGGTGTCATCCCTGACACGTTCATGCCCATCCTCAAAAATCTGCAAAAGATCAAGCGAGAGAATCACATCGCGTTCCATAACTGGATCTTACCAACCTCTGGCGAGAACAACCGCATGCCTCCGCCACTGTACGCCCGAAAAACAGGATTTGTGTTTCCACTCAGTTGTATCGCCAAGGACAAGGACGTTAAGCTTGATCTGGATCCTTCCCTCGCGTTGAAGGACATCGATCTGAAAAAGATCGAAGATGCGACAGGCCTCGACCATGGCCAATGTCTTGGTCTGGTAGGGGCCCTCACAAGGGAGTATGCACTCATTCAAGGTCCTCCCGGAACAGGGAAGTCCTACCTCGGAGTACAGCTCGTGAGAACTTTGCTTGCAGTGAAGAAGGAGGCGAAGCTGGGTCCGATTCTAATCATGTAAGTTGGCAAGCAAGTGTCTGAGTTTTACTAAGCTAATATATGTGGCCAACAGCTGTTACACGAACCATGCTCTGGATCAGTTCCTGAAGCATCTGCTCGACGTCGGAATCCAAGCCATCATTCGGATTGGCGGTCGCAGTGTCACGGAAGAACTCGACAGCAAGAACCTTCGCGTCGTCAGCAAAGAAACTCAAAAGACAGGAGTAGAAAGAAGTATTCTAGGCGAGGCTTATAGTTTACATGAGGCCTCGTTGGAGTCTGCTCAACGATCGCTGGGGCCTTTGTTTCAGGCCCGTAAAGGGCCGAGTTGGGATGGATTGAAACGATATTTATCGCGAAAACATCCCCGAATCTACAATCAGTTTGAGAGGTACGATGAGGACGGCTTCGAAGTCGTCACCAAAGACATCTTGAAATCTTGGCTGGGAAAACGGCCGAAGCAGATCGCAGTTGAGCCATCGACATGGAGAAACATCATAGCTCGAGCGGAGACCAATATTGGCTTGCTTTCTTCAGAAGAGAAATGGTTCATTGTTGAATACTGGCTTGAGCAACAACACCAAGCACAAATTGCGCGACTTTTTGAGTCTCTGGACGACGCTGAGGAGAAGCGCAAGACCATCCAGCGAACACATGACGCCGTAGATCAGCGAACTCTTGCACGAGCTGATGTCATTGGAATCACCACCACATCCCTAGCAAAGCAGATTGAAATGCTACGGAGTTTGAAGATCAAGTGTGTCATGTGTGAGGAAGCTGGCGAGTTGAGAGAGGCTGATATCATCTCTGCCCTGATGGAGAGTGTTGAGCACTTCATTCAGATTGGGGACCACAAGCAACTCCGACCTCAGATCAACAACTTTGAACTCAGTTTGGAGTCGTCTTCAGGCAAGTTCTGGCAACTGGATCGAAGCCAGTTTGAGCGACGGGCGGTGGGCGAACCGGGTCTTTCACCAGCACCATTCGCACAGCTTAACGTTCAGCGAAGAATGAGACCTGAGATCTCTCAGCTCATCCGCCGAGTTTACCCCAATCTGCAAGACCATGAATCAGTTTTTCACCTCGACGATGTGGTAGGTTTGCGTAAGAACCTATTTTGGCTCGACCACAATTACCCAGAGGACTCGGGCGGAGATGGAACTCGGGTCAAGTCGCACAGCAACATCTGGGAGACCAATATGGCGACGGCATTGGTCCGCCATATAGTTCGACAAGGAGTGTACAAGCCTGAGGACGTCGCCCTCCTTACGCCATACACGGGCCAACTTCAGCAGCTGCGAGCTGCTCTCGGCAAAGACTTTGAGATTTGCCTTAGCGATCGAGACATGGACCAACTGGCGCATGAAGGATTTGAAGATGAAACGGGCCAAGGATCATCGGGCACTCAGAAGATGATTGAGAAGAAGCAACTTCTTCAGACCATTCGGCTCGCTACTGTTGACAATTTCCAGGGTGAGGAAGCCAAAGTTATCATCGTATCCTTGGTTCGAAGCAACGAGCAGCGTAAAGTGGGATTTCTACGTACTGAGAACCGCATCAACGTGCTTCTCAGTCGAGCGCAACATGGAATGTATCTTATTGGCAATTCTGAGACGTACCTCAATAGGCCAATGTGGGCTGACGTCTATAATCAGCTCTCGCAAGCCGGTTCAGTTGGGAAGGAGATTGAGCTGTGCTGCCCCCGACACAAGGATCTTCAAATCACATGTGCTGAACCGGAAGACTTTGCCATCAAGAGCCCTGAAGGTGGTTGCACATTCACCTGCTCTCGACGACTTGAACCATGTGGGCATCAGTGCCCAGCGCGCTGCCACTCAAACGCCATGCATGACGCTTTCTTCTGTCAACAGCCTTGTCCTCGCGGCCGAGACACCTGCGATCATATGTGTCCCAAACTATGCGGAGAACTCTGTGGCCCTTGCAGGGTTCAGGTTCATGATGTTGAACTTCCATGTGGTCATATTAAGCAAAGTTTGATGTGTCACAAGAAGCTAAACTTGTCTTCGGTGAAGTGTACAGCCAAGGTTGAGAAAGTCGTCCCTGGTTGTGACCACACTGTCACTGTTGAATGTTGGGTCGACGTCAAGGAGCCAAACTTCACTTGCTCTACCCCTTGCCCTGAGATACTTCCATGTGGACATCAGTGTACTGGAACATGCAGCAGCTGTCGAAAAGCGGACGGGTCTTTCGCCCATAACCCTTGCACCAAAGTTTGCGATCGCCCCTTTGGCTCTTGTAACCACAGATGCCGCCAAGTATGCCATGGTGGTAGTTCCTGTGGTAGCTGTACTAAAGCATGTGAGGTAAAAGCCATATTTCCCAGTTTGAAGTATTCACTAACAAGTGCTAGGTTCGGTGCCCTCACTCCGCTTGTGCCTCGTCATGTAACAAAGCATGCGCTCCGTGTATCGAAAAATGTACTTGGTCCTGTCCACACCAAAAGGCTTGCTCCATACCGTGTTCAGCACCATGCGATCGACTCCCTTGCGACGAACGATGTACGAAGAAACTCGAGTGTGGCCATCAATGCCCAAGCTTCTGCGGAGAGGACTGCCCGGTTGGATACTGTCAGGAATGTGGCGACAAAGGGGATGCTCGAGTCGATCTCCTGGAGTTCTTGTCATACACTGAAGTGAACCTTGACGAAAGTCCTATCGTTGTACTTGGATGTGGCCATTTCTTCACTGGCGAGACTCTCGATGGTCTGGTCGGACTGGATGAGGTTTATACAAGGGACAAAGATGGCAACTTCAGCGGCTTGAAGGATACCACTGGGTCTCTTTCCCGAAAGGTTCCTTTTTGTCCAGACTGCAAACGGCCCATTCGGCAGTTCGCCACGAAGCGATACAACCGGCTCATCAACAGGGCTGTGATGGATGAAATCTGCAAGCGCTTCATCATCAGCGGGCGCGAGGCCCTTAAGACGTTGGAGGACCAGCTGCGGTCTGAGGAGAACAACCTGAGCGAAAGTCGAAAGGCTCACCCAACTATTGCAAGTTGGCCTCAGCAACTGTTGACCAAGAAGAGACACCAACGACTGAAGAGACTCGGGGATATGTCCAAGGACCTGGTAAAGAAGATGGGCAAGGAACACCAGCCCACCAAAATTCTCATCGACCGGATCGCGACAGCTCGTGTCCGTGCCACTGGTGATCCAATGTCTCTCGCAGTACAGATGGAGGCTATGAAGCTATCACCGCCAGAACCAGACAATCAAATCATTCTCGGAGCAAAGTTGCTTATGTTCAAGGCCGAGGAAGTGCAGTTTCAAGACTCGGTTGCACTCCTTCAAGCCTGCAGAGGCAAAGTCAATGCCACTGTGATCCAGGGATGGCTGAAGGATCATCCCCTTTTGGACACCATTAACTTCTTCATCGCCTGCCACCATCTCATTAATGAAGCCAAAAAGGCAAACCTTCCGCGAATACTTGCTTCGGCGACTCTATGCTATGCCAAGGTATCTCAGCTGGCGACTTGGTGTGCGCAGACGCAGGACGGTACTACTGCCCCAACACCTGGGGATGAGAGTGTGAAGAAGTACGTTGACAGGGCGAAGAAGCTTCTTGAAGATGCGCTGCTTCAGTGTGGGGATCTTGGGGACAGTGAGGAGGTGAAGGAGCGCCTAGAAGAAATGTCGCGACTCTTCGAACCTTAGTACCATGCTGTGACTCCAGAGGAACTGGCGTCGATCAAATCTGCCATGGTCAGCGGTCGTGGTGGCCTGGCCACTCACTCTGGACACTGGTACAATTGCGTCAACGGCCACCCTGTAAGAACGATCCTTGGGACTTATGACTTCTGCTAACTTTTGGATCTAGTTTGCGATCGGAGAATGCGGCATGCCAATGGAAGTTGCTCGATGTCCTGAGTGCGGAGCGCCTATCGGGGGTACCGGCCACCGACCTCTGGAGGGTGTGTCTCGTGCTCATAACATGGAAAACCGTCATTAATTATGAAGGATTGTTGCCTTTAGTGGATGATGGTAGAACGAACAGAGTCAATTCATGCCCTTGAGTGCGTGGCAGTGAGATAAGTCCATATGGATGGAAAGAGGACAATGGTGGGAGTGGACTGTGAAGCTGAGAACATGCGACAGTAGATTTGAAGTCATCTTGATGTAGATTGTAGAATGAAGGAGTTCTGTAATATCCTGTATTATCGTGGTGATTCTAAACTGCTTGTGCAATATTTGGTGTTTGAGTTCATGGACAATACTGACATTTTATCTACACACAATTTACCTGCATGCTATGGTTTAGACAACGATCTTGCTATCAAGAAGTCATCTGGTATTCAACATATCACTATGATTAATATAAAATGGATAAGGCAAATCGGTATTGTGAAAGAATATCTGCTTAAACTAAAACGCTGCTTCGTAACTCCTAATAGCTCCATCGTGTACTTGTGCTTTTCTTCTCATACAGTCATAACACAGAACAAGATTACTCATACAGTCTCATAACTCCAGTTTCTTTTGCTTTGATGGACATTTAGTATCCGTGGCCTGTCTCTCTGTCAGCATCAAGTTCAACCTCACATCACCAAGAAAACTTACGTCCAAGAGATCGTCCCATCTTCGACATCTCCTTAGCCTGAGTCTGCTTAACCTTAGCCCTCCTCGAATCCTCCTTCGCCTCAACCTCCAACCTCTTAACATGCTCCCTCGCCTCCCTCACACTCAATCTAGCTTCTTCCAGCGCACGATCAGCCTCACGCTCCGCCCTCTCAGCATCATGGACTCGCTCCCTGGCCTCAAGAACAGCAGGGTCATGCTCGTTGCGGTTTCCACCTAGACGAGACAAGAAACCGCCGCCGTTGGAGGTACGACGAGATGGAGAGCGGGATGATGAGCGGGAGTGTCGACGGTCGTAGGAGGATGCTGAACCGCGGGAGTGACGGTGGTGAGAGGAGGATGTGGATGTTCGTGTGGATGTGGGCTCGTGGCGGGATGAGGAGGAGAAGAGGCCGTGTTTGCGGGGGGGTTCCTCGCGGATTGGCTCTGGGGAGGGTTCACGACGACCAAAGAGACCCATGATGGTGATTTATGTGATAGTTTGGGAGTAGTGTAGTGTAGTGTAAGTGGTAGTGGATATAGTGTAAGTGATCAGTGGAGATAGTTCAGTGTAAGTGATGAAGTGGATAGATACAAAAGAAGCTTTTCACAAGAATCTAGGCGTCTCTTGGCCCCTATTTCTACTCTCCCCCATCCCTACCTCTGATGCCATTCCCAACCACGATCGCCCAAACTTCAAACCTGCTTTATTACCGTGACGTCAATGCATGCGCGCAGGGTAGCAAGGGTACCAACCAATCACGAAGCAGAGATGACGGTATCAGTGGCGTAGACGGTGATGACATTCAGAGCATCAAGAGATGAAATTATTGGTGTAAGAAAGATGATCAATGCCTCTGATATCATACCAGCTCAAGGTGAGGGGTGCAAGCTGAGAGGAATGTAACACGGTCTGCCAAGATGTGAAAGAATTCCAAAGTGTCGACGTTGCAGGTTTAGAGTTTATCAACGGTTACACTCCGCAACTTAATTGAACTGTCATCATCAATCTCAGACGGTAGCCTACGATCTCTGTGGATCAAAAAAAGATCTACAGTCCATCTCCTTGGCCTCGCTCTCTGTTGATATCTCATCATGATCCCTCATCAGCGTGGCTGTGCACTTTTGCCCCTCAAAGTCTCGGCACATTGGTCTCACCAAAAGACAGAGTGACAACAATCTCATAAAGAGACACGCTAAATAAACAATTGAAGAGACAAAAAACAATTGCCGTGAGGTAGACATGAAATAAAATAAAGTAGTTGTAGCTAGAGCGTGACGAAAATGACTTCCTTAACTTGAGTAGTCTACTCCTCCCGCTAATTTACCTCGCATTCCCGAGCGAAAAATAGCCTGCAAGTAGTAAATAGCAGAGAAAAACAACGCAAAACACCATGATTCCCTATGTGCTTTATGCCGCACGATATGTACACTGAAATAACCCATAGCGGGCCAAAAATAAACCATGGGGAGCCGAATAGAGTCCACATCCCTGCTTTCGTTCGACCACATTCGACGAATGATGACATAGAGGTTGTGGTCTTCGTATTCGACACCTTATTAATAAACGCTCGTATCGTATCATGTTCACATAACCGTGCATCCGCCCTCCTCACGATCCTTCTTGACGCTGAGCGCAACGCGCGCCGCCTCGGTGAAGGCCTCGTTGACGCCTCTGTTCTTCATGGCGGAGCACTCGAGGTACCGGAGGGCGTTTATGCGGCGCGCCACCTCGAGGCCCTGGTCGTAGTTGATCATGGGGCGCTTCTCGCGGGGCTCGCCCGATTCGTTCTCCTCCTCCTCGCCCTGCTCGCGGAGGTCGCACTTTAGTGCTACGAGGACGAGTTTGGTGCCGGGGCAGTTGTCGGCGATCTCGCCTACCCACTTGGATTCGACGTTTTCGAGAGAGTCTTTGCTGTCGACGGAGTAGCAGAGCATGATGAGATCTGTGTCGTCTGGCATGTGTTAGTCTGGTTGGGGTTAGTAGGTGTCGGAGGTAGGTACCGTAGGATAGGGAGCGTAGTCGGTCGAATTCTTCCTGGCCTGCTGTGTCCCAGAGGGATAGCTCGATGTGCACATTATCGACAAAGATGTCTGCGTTCGTTAGCGATGCGTGTACGCAGAAGAGCCGAGTATCGTACCGTGGACGTAGTTCTCAAAGACGGTGGGTTCGTAGACAGTAGGAAAGTAGCTATAATCAATGAGCCTCTCTCTTTCACATGCATCTCCTTCAAAACATACCCTCTCGTAAAGACGTTCAACAGCGATGTTTTTCCACAAGCACCATCACCCCTAAATCAGATCAGCGCAATGCCCTCCCATCGTTCATCGTATGTTACGCACAACAACACCAGCTTTCGCTGCACAGTTTTGGATCCTCCACAAAGAGCAGGCATTCTGACAAATGTGATATCAAATCGTAGCTACGCCGTAGTGTGTAGAAGAAGAGGGAAAAAAGGAAAGACCGTTGTGGTTTTTCGCGTCGCTTGAAATAAGTTGAATCTCGGTTCCCGTGCAGGGCCCTTGCGTGCGCAGATCGAATTCGGAGGCGAGAAAGAAACCGTTGGTAGATATCGATAGACGGCAAGGCGAATTGATTCCGTTGGATGTACGGAGTAGGGGTTAAGGAAATGAATGGTCGTTTTTCCACGTCGCGGGAGAGGAATAGAAGATGCAAGGTTGTGAAATGGAATGGAAGTTGAGGTCAGAGAGAGGCCAGCGCAAGGGAAAATGGGGAGCACTGGAACTCTAGGCCTTGGGGCAGTGGAGTCGACAGCGAGGAAACCGAGCAGGGATTGTTTTCGGCGCCTCTTGAGGGGATATGCATCAGCATGACAGAATAGCCCCGCCCATAACCAGTGTAAGTTAGGGGACTTGTTTCTGTCGCTCTTTAAATGTGTCCCCTTTTTTTCTGCACATCCTGTGGAACCACTTTCTCTTTTTCTTTGCAGTAGCGTCGACCCGTCACGTTAATTGGCTCTTTCACCCGGTCGCTACCAAGATTGCCTCTTTTAAGGTCCCCGGTTCAATTGCATGCGCCAAAGAGGGTTAAGGCTAAGGCTCCGAGTCTTTAATTCGATAGTGTTTGTTCAATGACAACGATGTTACGTCGCGAATAACTAATCATGACTTGTGAACATTAGCGAGAATGTCCTCTGCATGAGTGAGAAGCGGTACCTGAAACTTGTACCTGAATTTGAGTTAAGTGGACGATTCATGGTGGCTTTGCGACTGAATCGTAACCTGAAAGTGGCTTCGTTTATTTCCGCCCGCAGAGGGTTACTACAAGTAGGTATCACGCGGAAGAGGCGATAATTGCAACACTGAAAAAGCCAGCTTGTTCAATATTGGTAAACTGCTTGTTTCTATTATAACCTTGATTCGGTTCATGCCGATAACTCAACCTGACTGTCCAATCTAACCTATGTCGTTCAAAACGTAAATGTGCAACTCAACAGAGGCCGCCCACTGTAAAATCCATTTCTAATCTTCGTCCCTTTGATATCCCCGACGCGATCCGCCCATACGGTCCGCAAGACCCTTGTGGCCTGCTTGTTGATGTAGCTTGTTCACGAAGCTGCGATCGCCTACGCGCTCACGAGCTTTGTCGTCTGCTTCACGAGCCGCTGCCTCCTGTTGTTCCAGTGCCGTAAGACGCTTTGAGCGATCTTCATCGAGCTCTGTTGCTGCAGACTGCATGGCTGCTAACTTGCGCTGACGTTCTTCCTCCTTGGCTTTATCGTCTTCTTCGTTGTATCGTGGTCGCCTGTCGCGAGAATCGGGGTAGCTTCTTCGGAAATCCCTTCGACTTTCGCGGGGGCGCTCGTCGCGTGGTCGATCATGGCGGGAGCGGTGCTCACGCCTAGGTTCTCTATCCTCTGAATCATCGCGTCTTCGTCGCGAACGATCTTCTCGACTATCGTCTCCGCCTCGCCTGTGCCGATCTTCTCTCGAATCATCACGACGTCGTGGACTTCGCGATCGCGAATCCGAACGTCGTCGTCTGTGATGTCTATCGTCAGGGTCTGCGCTGCGATGACGATGCCTCCTTCGATGCCTGTCGTGTCGATCTTCTCTCCTCCGTGACTTTTCCTCCTTCTTCTTCTCGTCGTCGATTCCCATCGAGGACAGTAATTGTCGGCGCTTGATCGGGTCGTTCATCATGGCTTCGTAGGCAGCTTGTTCTTGTCGCTTGATAGCCAACAACGGATCGTCACGAATCTTGGCAGCCGTATCCCTCGCAGTATTCGCATTCTGCAGCGCCATGAAACTCTCGGCCCCCGCTTCTTTCTCCAACTTCTTATGATCTGTGCCCTTGATAAGGTGGTCGATACGCCGCTTGCCCAGCAGGTAGGCTTCTGATTCTTCTGTCGTGCCGCCTTCTCCGTCGTTAGG